CCAGACCACCGCCGGTCGAACCGCCGATCTCTATACAGCACAGCCTGTTGTGACCCGAAAGCGAAACTCATCGCTGTCTTCGCGGCTGTCGGACGCGTCCAATAATCTGGAGATTCAGTTAAGACAACTGATCGGTGATAATGTCTGCGACAGTAGTGACCAGAAGAACGCCACGACTGACGCTAAGCCTAAACGTAAAGGATCTGGCGATATATCCGTGTCGTCCACTTCGCCAGTGAATGTAAAAGTGGCTGAAAGTCCTCCGAAACCAAAGCCCAAAGAAAGGATTACCACAAATACAACGAATAGCAATAGTCAACAGATTGTGAGACAATCCGTTGCCACTAATCATCGAAATGTGACTTCAAATAAGACAATTGACACGAAGACGAGTGCGAAGACTAACATTACAAATAATAATAACAAATCGGTTATAGATAAAAACAGTAACTCTTCGCCGCCGTTGAGACCGATCTCTAGTCATAAATACAGTACTAATGGTAACCACAATATGATTACGGGAACCAGTGTTAAGACATTACAAACTGTGCCCAAACCCAGCGCTCAGTCACTATTACAGCCCAAAACGCGTCCGAAGCCTACAATGCCCTTAAGGCCGACCACTATTACCATAGAGCCCAAGAGCCCGACCATCAGCCCCAGTATGTCGGGCGCCAACAGACAGTTAAGCATTTCCCGTTCAAAGTCTGACGTCTCGAACCGATTGCTCGGCCGTCGGAATAAGAGTAAGGACGAGATCGAGCGCTTCTTTGAGACCCTCGGCCTCGACTCGAGTGTCTGGGACTCCATTCGCTCCGAAGCCACCAATTCGTTGATATCGACGCCAAAACATTACTTCGATTCCAACGATTCTGTGCCGTCGGCTGTCGATAAGGATGTGGTGAAAGCCCGACCCGTTCGCACCTGTGGCTCGTCCTCCACCTCCAGCACCTCGTCTTCCTCCTCGTCATCGAAGGCGTCGTCCGCTCAGTCAACCACTGGTCGCCAGACAACGGCTGCGGCCGATCGGGTGGCAAATGTGCTCAACACCCGACTCATGCAATCCAGATCTTGTCACACACTGTCCACCGGGTCCTCCATTGTCGAGAAAAATGCCCGGGTTATTAAATGGCTCTACAATTGCCGTAAGGCTATGGTCTGAGCGGCTGTCATGTCCTAATCTGTTGACTCTACGCTTGATCTGATCACTCTATCACATCCACTATCATTTGGTTCCTTCATATCTAGTGCTTACTTTTGTTTTAATACCTGACTTCTTGATGACTACTGGATTAGCCCCGGGAACTGTCCGCTCACTCCTAACCTATTGGTGCTTATATTTATAACTATTAAATATACTTTTCTATTGTGTTAATAGTATTTAAAATCATAACTCGTATTCATTTTACACATTAATATGAGATTCACTTAAAAATATTTTGTATTTAAATGATATTTTTATTATAAAAATATGTTTTTCTAATTGATTTGTAATTGAACTGAATTTTGTATTTATAAGTTTTTTATTTGATTTTTATATTCAATCTATTGTGTGTTTTTACTACAAATTTATAGAAAACATTATACATGAGAATTGGTATTAATAATGAAAAAGTAATTTATTGTAAATTATAAGAAAATGTTTTAATATAAAAAAGTAAATACAATGCAATATATATCGAAAACATTTTTGTTTTAAAAATTATTAATTTATAATCTAATTGAAAAAGACGTACAAATTGTTTAGTTTATAATTTAAATAAAAAATTTTCATTCATTTCTCAAGTGATAACAAAATTTTTTCAAATACAGAGAAATATACCACAATTTTTCAACAAAATCTTGTTTTATTGTTCAAAACATAATGTGTAATATTTCTTGAATAAAGTTTTTAAGAATTGTTTTTTAAATAATAATATATTTGATGAAAAACTAGATTACAATTAAATAAACAGACGAACAAATTCTTTGTATTTATACAAAAATAAATTTTAATTAAAATATTTGAATAATAAATTAATTTGAAAAACAATCACCATGATAAACAATTATTGACTAAACGCTAGCCAAGTGGTATAGAGGTGGCCACGCGGTCAATTTTCGTAATGCCGACGAATGTGCCCAAAATAGAGTCCAATTGTTTGCCAATCTTTTCGAGAATGGGTCCGATGGATGTGCGCTTGCCTTCCGGGAGGGCGTCCAGCACTTGGCCGATAGCTTTGGCCACATTCTGCAACAGTTCCACCGAATTGTCCGAAGTGTCCGAATTGTTTGAATTGTTCTGACACAACAAACACCCAATATTCAACCAAAGTGTTAGATACAGACATATTACTGTTTTGTACATTATTTTATACATTTTTCATTATTTTTACTAATATTCAGTAAATTAATTATTAGCCAACATTTTACACGACAGATGTTTTTATCTTTAATTCTTGTATGTAAAAAATATTAATGTTAAAAAAATACAAATTATATTAATTTTGTATTTATTAATTATTTACAGGCGTACATTATTGAATTAATAAACTAACGTTATTAGGAAATTATTATTTCGTACACTATATACAGAAAAATTCACCTTAATATATCCCCTTTATCTAATTGTTAATAATATAAGTATGGTAACTAAAAAATCGTACTTTCAGTTACGTTATTACATAAAGTTGTTGAACATTTAATATAAACATTTGCATCCAAAATATTGATGATGGTTGTTTAGGAGATGGGATTAGTGATTTTGGTGATGGTGATTATTATTGAATCAATTTGAAATCAAAACTCACTTATAATAAGATTAAATACTCCGAACTGATAGAGAGAGTATGTAATGAATGCCGTTTTAATCAATAGCTCAATGAGAGAGTCGTCGATTCGGGCGACAAAACTGGCGCTCAATAACACCACTCCTACCATAACACCGATGGTCTGTATTCTCAACATTTGTCCGTTTATTTGATGGTAAAACACAAATATTAATTAATTGTTTATAAATTATAAATATTAAAAATTTGCGTAAAATATAATTTGAATGAATCGACAAAATAAGTGTTTGTCGTTTGTAAAGGAAATGCCATTAAAAGACATGTTTCCTATGATTGAGACGATTATGAGAGAAAACTTTATGTTAATTCATGTGATGTTAACATAAAATTATTTTTCATTTACTAAATTACTTTATACTTAACTATTGATATTTGATATAACTTTACTAAATTTTATAATAATTTTTAGAATTATAAATATAAATGTACACTAATTATTAATAAACCATTTATTAAACATTACATTAAATAGTGTTTTTATAAATTATAAGTTAAAACTTATAAAATACAAATTTTATAAACAATAAACACACTTAAGGTTAAGAAAAAAAGTTAGTTAAAAAATTAATAAAAACACTAAATTATATTAAATACAAATAAAATGTCCAACATTTACATTAATGTATTATTTTATAAAAACATTTCATAATTAAATGAATTAATAAATAATTAAAAATCTATTCAATTGTGTCAATCCATTCAATCTGTTCGTAATAATTGATTGGCATTTCATTGAATGTAATGTTGGCTTCAATTGAATCCAAATTAGCGGCAATTCGTGTCAAAACGTGTTTCAATTGATCCGCCGATTGGTCGCCAATCATTGCTTTGATCTTTTGTCCGAAATCTCCCAAACAATCGATTATCTCTTTGACCGCCTCTTTGCCAACGGATGGCAACTGTTGGACAACAATCGGTTCCCGTTTGCTCTTCAGAGACCAAATCTTTTCTTTCAATCCATTGTTTTCGGCACTCATTTTCATCCACTCGTCGAGCGTTACCTTCATTTCGCGGCCAAACTCTTCGGCAAACACTTCATTCAAAGCCGTAATCAATCGATTCGGCGTTTTCTTCGTCTCGCTTTCAATGGCACTCAAAACCGATTCAAAAGCCGATACTTTGCCACCGATTCTGGTCTTCGTCTCATTATCGGCACGTTTTGTGGCCACAAATCGCTTAATTAGTTCCCGATTCGCAACTCTTTTGCGCAACAATTGGCTGTGAGAGACAGTGGATGTGTTTGAGTGACGTTTGGGAACCACTGGGCGTTTAAAGGCCACGGCGTGCGGCCAACCGCTCGTAATGTCTGACTGAGTACTGGTGGCCGTCGGCGACGGACTGACAAACAGTTTACGGCGAGTGTTGGCCGCGCTATCAGTAGACCTATAAGTGGTGTCCGTTTTACTGGCCATCAAAGTCTTGCGTCCAAATGATTGCAAAGACATCGGCCAATAACTGTGTCCAACGGATGGACTGTTTGTTTGCGACAACTGGTGGCCACTGGAGGCCCGCCGATGATCGCCGCAATGGATGCTCAAAATGTTGCCGACAATACGTTGAGTCCTATCGGTTCCGTCCATATCTCTTCTCAATTGGTTGTCCATCGGATGTGTTGAGTGACCACTGATTGTGTCCAACGATTGTCTCGTGAAATGGTTTTCAAATTCGCTTTTTTGTGAACTTTGCCTAAACTTTACAAAAGTTTCCAAAACTCATTTGTCGTTCAATACGAGCGAAGCTAGTGTTTTGATTAAAGGCGTATCAATCATGTGTTGTGTGCTATGAGTTAAGCCCTTATTGCGAATTCTTATTAAATATATATTTCTTATGCTTTTTGTAACTATATATAAGGCTGACTCTCTGTAATGTACATAGTTTATGGGTCAACTGTTTAGGGCATTCAAACTTTGCACACAAATGTTTGGCAAAATGTGTTTCGGGTTCTGTCTAGTACCACTAATTGGTAACGTTTGTTATGAATGGCGTTTATATACAGTGTTTGGGTTGTTATGGGAATCAAAGCCATTATAATTCACAGTAAATATTAAGCGTAACATTGAGTATACAGTTAGACATTAATGACAGCACAAAACACAACACTATTTATTAAATCAGTTTTTAATTCACTTTTAATTCATTCATTAAAACAATGCTTTTATTAAACGTTTTATAATTACTTTTAATTTACAATTTATTTGACGACAAATCGCGTAATCTTTTTGGGTTTAAATATCGGTAAACAAAACGAAACTTGAATTGAATTTAACTGTTGTTTACAATTGATTTATGTTTGCATTGAATTTATTGTTAAGAGCATCACATCTGTGGCCACTCATCAGCGCATCCACTGAAGACATTGATCCGATAGCAACGATGAGCGACAGCGGAGTGGCGGTCAAACGCGGCGCCCAATTGTCAGACAACAGTCCCGACTCTCTATTACACACATGTGTCCGATATGTGGTCAGAGAGGGTCTCGACTTACGGCCCGTGTCTTTGCCGCAAGAGATCTGTGATCTACTCATTCACGTAAGTGTTGTGTCGATTGGTTTGGCATTTGTTGGATTGATTGCCATTTGTCTTCTCATAACAGGTCTATCGCGAGACACACGTGAATGACAGCGAACTCGTGAGCGAATCGTTACAGAAGTTTTTGTCCCAATTTCGGGCCAATAATAGCCGCGTATGTGTGGCTAAGTTTGCCGACCTGTCCATCATTGACGAGACACTGGAATCGTTTCTCGAGGAGCACTCCAAGTCCATCACTCACTTGGATGTGTCCAACTGTCCACACCTGACGGGTCAGGCCTTAACGCACATCAATACAGCGCTCACACGTATTGTAGACACGCGTCGACTGCGCCGCACAGTGCGGGTCATAGAGGAGGGCCCGTGTCATGAGTGCCGTGTCTTGTATACCAAACACTACGCCAATGGTGTGATCACAACCACGAGAGACAACTGCACTGTCGACGAAAACGTGGGCCTCATTACCGATGATTACTCTCTGACACAAGCGATGGGTATCTTCGATGACCCGGATTTCAGTGACTTTAAGGCCCGAAAAATACGCGAATTGAATGGCATTCGGGGTTACGATTGGCGGCTATCGGACGAAGCGATGGCCGTTGAATGCGATGGAGTGCCGGCCGTAGCGACCAATCGGTCACCAATTTCTGTGAGTGAATGCGAATACTATAAGCCGTCGGAGAGTTTCAGTAAGAATATGGGCGACAATCGGATCAAGACTTTAGAGATCAAAACATGGCAGCCGTCGCCCCTCCAGACACTCATCATCGGTCGTTCAGCGCATATACTGCCCGACTATATAGAGGAGGACGGACTCGACGATGAGGTGAGGCTATCCATCACTTGATCACTAATTTTTAACATAACTAATGGTTAATTTGAATTGTATTCACCAGGAGTTCTCATCCCATAGTCATCTAATTAACCCATTGTTAACAATACGTAAACTAGTGATACACGAGTGGAACTCAATCGACACGTCCGCCCCTTATCTCAAGTATTTAATTAACTCTCAAATGAAACACACGTTACAGCACTTGGACTTAAGGTATGCTCGGAGTTGTGTCTTTCATATGAATTGCTCACAACTTTCGGTCTCGTAGTAATGGCAGCGCTATCGATGACGGCTCACCACTGGAACAGTTGCAGTCATTGAAAACATTGATTCTATACAACTGTCCAAAACTACATCTGGCCATCAATAATATCGTTAAGATAACGACTTTACGGTAACTCTTTTGTCCATTTCTTCACAGTTTTTATTAATGGATTATGTTTTATGAGCAGTTGTCTCGACATCTCATCCACTAATGACCGCTACGGACACGGATATAAACATCCGAACAAACAGTTGACACTTATAGTGAACTCTTTGCCTGAATTGACTCGACTGGACATATCGGGCACTAATCTCGCGGGTCCTCGTAAGTCATGGCAACCCATTGAGTAATACCTTAAAAATGATTGTTTTTTTAAATACAAAGGCTGTGAATACATCCCGGGATTAGTTTCACGAAACGCAACACCATTTGAATACTTAGGACTTTACAATACGGCCAATGAGGCGGCCTATAGGCGCACAATACCCGCCCATTCAGTCAGTGATTATCACTCGTATACCAGAATTTGTTAATTAATTTTTACTTCAATTAATAGGTTTCGGGCGACGCCACTGAAGAGCAGATACTGACGGCTTGTGAAGCTTATATCGATAGAGTGGAGTTCTTGAGGCGTACACTTAATGATCTGTTCCACTGTTTCCGTTTTGAAGTACGATTTGAGTCTTAAATAACAATGAATAACTTATTTTGGTGTTTGGTTTATAGACTAACTTCCATAACGTGAACCGAGCGCTTGATATTGTGTTGCTATCGATGTCCAGGCATTTGCATGAGAAGCAGATCCAGATCGCGGCCTCCGCTTCGCTCTTCTATATCGTTAAGTCAGACGAAGCGAAACATAACTTCAATATTAAAGTGAAGCGATTGATAATTACTAAACTTCTGGACGCTATGTATGAACACAGATATGACACCACTGTATGTATTATTTGAATTGCTTTTAGTTTTTGAGTTTACTTTTTTTATAATTATTATCATTTAAATCTTGATTTGTTTTATACCATCAGATGTTACGAAACGGAAGTTTGACTCTCATTCACTTCAAGATACCAACTGATGTGGTAATCTCTCTCTCTCTCTCTTTCTCTATTTATATACTGATATAATTGTATTATTGGATTAGATTTTTGAATACTCGCGTTTAGTGGAGATTCTGTTGCATATAGTGACCAATGATGAGGACGACTTCATCCAGAGATTGGGTTAGTATTTGTGTGAATTGTTGAATGAGTTATAACCCTAACTGTGCCGGTGCTGTATGTGCTGTGTATAGGTATCTATTTGTTGAATACACTCGCGTGTCAGGTCGACGGCGACCAGAAGACAATTGTTGGCGACTTGGGAGCCATCGACAAAATGCTGTCATTAATCGATACGAGACTCCAGAGGAATATGTGCGATGAAGTAATGGAGACGGCGTGGAGTACAATGTGGAACGTGACCGGTATGTGTCCTCCGAGACCAACACTCTTCACAATCATTCAATGGACTAATTATTTGACTGCTTATCCATTTTAGACGAGACACCAGTAAATTGTGAGCGATTTCTCAATCAGAATGGAATGGATTACTTCGTGTCGTGTATGACATCGTTTCCCAACAGCGCCGGTATGTGTTATACAGTGTTTGCATTTATTTGAACATAATTTGCTATACTATTGATGACAGAGTTGTTGAGGAATATGATGGGACTGTTGGGAAACGTCGCCGAATGTGAGAAACTGCGGCCCCGACTGATGAACGCTCAATATATTGAACGCTTTGTAGAGCTGTTGGACAGCGAGTCGGACGGCATTGAAGTGAGCTATAATGCGGCCGGAATTCTCTCTCATATCGGTTAGTGAGCCATACATTTGACTTGAATTTGTTTTAACGCGTGATATGTCTGTCGATAGCGTCTGACGGCGAGTATAAGTGGCGACAGATATTGCCGTTTGATTGCAGTCGAGACGATATGTTGAACCGAATGAGTGCCGCCATTAGCCGATGGAAGATCAACTCCAAGAGAAATATCAACTACAGGTGCTCTTGAGTTGCTTTTTTAATTTAATACTTTTCATAATTGTTTTAATTCCTTGTTTTATTGCTAATTGATTGTAATTTAGATCCTTTGAACCGATTCTACGTCTATTAAAGTCAAGCATACCATCAGAGGCTCAGTATTGGGCGGTCTGGGCGTTGGCTAATCTGACCCGAGTCTACAGTAAGGCTGTAGTCTATGACTGTATTATGGATTTTAACCAGACTTTAATTTAAAGGTCAAAAATATTGTCCACTCCTGAAGGATGACAGAGGGTTAGAAGTGTTGGAACAATTGGTGGACAACGAGTCGGTTCCCCATCGGATCAAACACTTGTCGTCTCTAACTCTATATCAATACGATTTGTTTACAAAAGAGAGTCATCTGACGGCTCTCGAGAACAGCGAAGACATGGAAATACCGGCCGATTTTGTGAGACAATCGCACCGATAGTTAGTCGCGAGTGTTTTGTTAATTATATGACATTTTACTTATTCATCTCAACATTCATTACATTTTATTTCATTAAATTTTTATATTCATTTACATTTAAAAGACATGATTATTATAATAATTACTTTTAATTCACACCAAAAGTCTAAGTCATTGTATAAAATAACATACGATTTGTTGTTCGCATAAAACAATTTAATATTTATTTGTTATTTTTTATTGCTATTACTGTACATATGATAATACTCTATACCACAGACTTGTTATCCCTTATAACAGAATTGAATTGTATTTTCAATTGGTTTTAATTTGCTAATTATTGATTGATTTAGATATGGATTGTATTTATATTTCTTAAATGAATTGTTTTATTTAATCCGATATTTATTTCAATCTATAATTACTTTGTGTAATGGAATTATTATTTGTTTTATTTTTATCATAAAAGTATATCGAAAAGTTTGTTTCATTTGTTTTCTATCATTTGTAAGCATTTTCTAGGATTTAGACATTAATTAATTGATAGTTAATTTCAATAATTTGAAAGAATTTATAATATGTATAATATATCTGTATTTATAGCACAGAATTTGAATGATTAATGTAAAGTACAGTTATAAGTTATAACTATATTAAAACAATTAGTATAAATAATTACAAGTAATAAATTGTTTCAGTGGTGTCTTCACAATGTGTTAATCAAGAGTTAATTTTCAAATTATATAAATATATCATTTGTTTTAATTAATGGTTAAAAAATATTGCCAAACAATTCAATGACAGTAAAAACTTAATGAATAAAAGATTACTTCAAATCACGAAATACTTTAAATGTGTTTTCAATGACACGAATGAGAAGACACTGAATATAGAGATGTTGTGTACATTTGCAGCCAAACCGCTGGACCCACGGCTCCACTTTGGCCACCGGTTGGTCACATCCGCCGCACACTATCGTCCCGTTATACCACTCGGTGTGTCCGCTGTCCGCAAACTCACGCATCCATAGCTGTGGCTCTATAAACACCCGATCGCACGACCAGTTCTGGTCATCAGATGTTGCATTGTTGGCCATTATATCGATGGTGTCATTAGTGATGACATGTATGCCGTAAAACAGCACAAAACCGCACTGACGACAGACACACGACCGGCCTTTCATCACTTGTGGAGTCATAGTCTCGGCCACCGCCAGTCGGTCCCAGTATTTGTTCATCGTTTTAATGTCCGACACATACATATCGAGCAGATATTGTCTAAACTCCCGGTTATTGGCGTCCAATGTATAGCCCATTGTTTCAAAGAAAGACAACTGTCGTGAGAAGTAACCGACGGGAGCCGTAAGTCGACGTTTGGCCGCAACCAACCGTTGACCGCCCCTCACATTCAGCGTGTATTTGGCCATTAGATACGCGATCGCAACGGCAGTACAGCGAACACTGCCGTCCGCACAGTAGACCAGTATAGCTGCCCCGCGACTCACGTAATGGCCAATTATGGTCAAAGCTCTCGGAAAGTGTGTCAACAGGTCTTCGTACGTGTCATTACCTGTTAATACAATTCGGTGGCAGTCGATGGCATCGGAACCAAGTTCTGGGAGCGTATCGTTTACGGACACAATCGATAGCATGGCTCGGATGTGACGGCTTTGAAGTGTCTGTTGCGCCGCTAAAGCGTCTCCGATATACACGTGCTCTTCGATGCGACACAAGTGGGAGTTAAATGTTTTATCCATTACTCTATCGTCTACTGAATCCCAATCCAAAGCCATTGAAATTTGATTCAATTGTCACTCAATTGTTTGGCAAATATAAAGCTCTTCGTTGATATATAATTTGTTATAATGTAAATAATTTTTCAAACAATCAATCAATCGTTCATCAATTTATTTTATCTATAATTTAGTCATATATTTATCATTGATTTTATGCAGTGATTATTGGATACATAGCATAGGATTAGTGATAATCCAAAAGTATTATTTAAAAAATATGAGTAGAAATTTTAATCAAATTTTATAATTGGTTTACAATAACAGATAAAAACTATTTCAAAGTTAATGCTAATGATGGATAAAATGTAACCAAAAATTAATATTACAAAACATATCAGCAATTGTTTGACCGATAATAACGAGAAACGAGTTGTGGTTTCAATAAAATCATTGCAATTTCTATTCTCCAAAATATGACTACTCTTTAAATAATCCATAAATAAGATTTGATTCACTGTTTGTGACGATTTATGGATTTCAATACCAGATTCGTGTAAACTTAACAATCTATAAATTAACGATTGAATATACATTGATTTAAACTATAATTAATCATTTATTTTAAAATTTTAAAAATTATTGACAAACATTTGCCTGAATTTATGTTTCAATTGCGAGTCCAATGTCTTTCTCATAGGAATGCTATACAAATATATATCACTTCCACTCGATTTGCCAATCAATTCAAACCGAGAATAGTGTTTAATAATGGCATTCACTTTAATATACGATGAAATTAATACATTATTTTTATGGACAATTTTTGTAATGGTATTCAATCTAAACATTTCTGGCATTGATATAAGTGTTAAACGATTTGCCAAATCTTTGTGTCGCTAATTGTCAATAAAATTAATTAAAAATAAATTTTAAAAACTAGAATATTTTCAATATTCTTGTAATACCATTCTTATAAGCGATTCTTGACTCGACTTATTTACGACCATTACTTCCAGGTCTTGTCTGTCAATCAACTGTTG